AACTCATTTGTTCTTCGTAGCAGTCTAAGAGGTAGGAAATATTACTCTCTCTCTTGAGAGATGAATGAATTGCCTTGCTTCCCATCACACAGCTGGTAAGGGTACAGCCAGGATTTGAGCCTCATTAGTTTGGCTGTAGAAGCTGTGGTCTTTAACCACCTGTCAACTTATCAAATAGGTTAAAGCAGAGGTTCCCAAACTGTCTCAGTTCATGGCACCTTTAGCATCTCAGTAAATTTTTTTTTTATAGCACCCCATAAGCCAAAAGAAATACTTAATAATTAACTAATAATTGTAATAACCATTTGAAAAAAGTAACGTGAGTTGAAAATTTATATTTATTCCATGCTTAAAACCACAGTTACTAAGGGATGTGTGTGATTGTTGATCACTGTACTTCTCCTCAAACCTTGGAATCAGACAGGATAAGCCACCTTCATTTCCTGTTTCACATTGATTTTCACAAGGCACATGCTTTGTCTTAGCAAGGATTGCCAACCAAGCTTCTCAGAGATAAGATGTCTTCGAAAGGAATGTAGCACTATCTAATGTTGAAGCTGAGTTGTCTTGAACTAAGTTGTTAATGAGTTATGTGACAAATGTGGAATGTTTCAGCATATTTAACTTAGAAAATAAAAAATAACCCATAATACCCCTGTCATTTTGCTGTGGTGCCATAGCCTCCGCCACAGTTTTCTAGAACCATTGGTCTAAACCATTGCTACTCAAAATTATGGTTTGTGGACCATTGTGTAGGTATCTCCTGGGAGTCTGTGGAAATGCAGAACCTGTCACTCTAGACCTACTGAGAATCAGACTGCATTTAACATAATCTTAAAGTGATCATGTGCTCAGTAATGTTTGAGTTGCACTGGTCTGGACTTCCTAAGCCCATCTCCAAGGCTGCATTACTTGGACATGGGCTTACCTATGTTTTCATACCTTTGTTCAGTGTTTCCACTCCACCAGGATTGGCTTTACTCCTCTCCCTTTCATTTCTGAAAGACTGAGTAAGGCTCACACATTCTATTTATGTTTGGTTTGTTTACAGCTTTTCACCTGAGTCGCTCACTATGAATCCTGAAACTGAACACAATTTTTTGTTGTTAGACATTTTTTCCTCATGATTTTTTAGCTTTTATTCTCAGGAGGTTCTGTTGATTCTCAAAGGGTCTGTGACTCTAAAATTGTTGGGAACCACAGCTTGAATCAAGGCCTGTTTCTCATTTGTCATGGTGTGGTGGTTGAGTTTTTGCCTTTCTTAAATTTTGCCATTTTTTATGTTGTCTTATTTAAAAGTTTTATTTTGATTATAACCAATATGTTTTCTGTTTATAAAAATAGTATATAATTACAGTGCATTTATTTTTAT